AGAGCAAATGTCACTGTCCACCCTCAGCTTTCCTCATTTACCAGTGCCGCGGTGTACAGTCAGGTGGGCACAGTTCTGTGTCTCCTCTTTGTTGGGCAGTGGAAGAGGTATTCATGGCTTTCCTTCCCTTTCCTACTTTACCCAGCACCAACCATGAGATTCATAGAGCAGATTCTCAATAAATGGAGAATGAATGAACACGAGTGATGCAGAGGGCCGATGGATGGTTGGTTAATAATTGAATAAAAGGACATTTTAAAAGGCTTAATATTGCACAAGGCTGTACCCAGGTAATTGTGCACAGACTTTTATCTTGGAAGCTTTATAAACATAGGCAGGAGGCTGACTCTGCCAGAACTCAAAAGCCATGGAACTGTTAGCCAGAGTCCATCGGAGAGAGGGGGAATCCCTTCTAGGAGGTCTGCAGCAGACGCAGGGGCTCCTGGGAGATGCCCTCCTCCAGCTGCCTTCAGGGAGGCTTTGGAGGCTGCACTCTCTCCCCTATCCAACATCATCCCTCCCGTCTTTCCCAGTCTTTTCCCATCTGAGGACTCCAGCACCTGGGAAGAATCAGGAACTCAGCAAGTCTCTGCTAAACAAACTGAGGAACGTCAAGGAGATTTCAGGACTTCAGAGAAAAAGCTATCTATCCCACAGCTCACCAGCCACCCTGCTGTCTCACACACGTGCACACACATGCACACAAGCACATGCTGCTTTCTGAGAAGTCTGCTTGGCCCCTTTCCCTTCCCTCTCCCTCCTCTTAGCTCCCTCCCCCTCTGCAGCTAGGAGGAACAAGGTTCCCAGACTTTCCCATCCCCCAGCCCATGCTCTTTCCCTCCTCCCTCCCTCCCTCACATCTCCAAGTGCAGGACTGACTGCACATCTGGTTCCAGTTGTGGTTGGTCCATTCAGGGGTAGGCCTGGGGGTTTCTCATAAAACTGAATAATACCAGTGTTGGAGCTGGTGACGCTGGGGGGAGGGAGGGCAGGAGGCCGGCTGGTGGGAGAAGGAACAGCAGCAAGAGGTAAGGAGACGGCTGTGCCTGGCATCTCTGAGGGCTCAGAGGATGCCTGTTAGCTAAAGACAGAGCTGCAGAAACAGGGCAGCAAAGCCCAGTGCAGAGAGAATGGGACAAAGAGGGTCAGAAGCAGAGACCCAGAGGAGGGAAGAGATGGAGCTGGGGGTGGCGGGAAAGTGCCTTGGAGCAACAGAGAGGCCATTGAGAAGAGCAAGGAGAAAAGAATGGTGTGTGTCGGGGCCAGGTGCTGAGTTAGGCACTTCCACTGGGAGAGGGAGGACACAGAAAGGCAAAGAAAGGCTTGGGACTGAGGTCTGAACTCAGTTTCACAGCCCTCTCAGCCCTGGCACCATTCAAGGCCCCTAGGTGACCAGGGACAGGGAGAGGGTGGGCCCGGGTGGGCCCACCCAGACCCAGACCCAGACCTATTGGCATTTACTCTTTCATTGCATTTTCAGCCACATGGACGTGCCTACCGTTTGTCCAGCCTCCTCACCAGGATTTCCGGGAAATTCCCCTTCTAAGACTTCTAAGACTAAGATAGTCATGGCTCCTCTCCCCATCTTGGAGTCGGGCTCAGAGCAGCCGAGTGAAACCACAGAGCAGCTGCTGAGGGGGATTTGGTTCTGGGGCTTCCAGCTCAAGCCTATGTCACCACAGAACCACCTGGCTACCAGACCAACACATGAGAGCTTTTGGAGGCTGCACCCTCTCCCCTATCCAACATCATCCCTCCCTAGGGTTAGGCTGGATGGGGCAATTCGGAGTCACTTTGCCTCAGAGTTAGGCACAGTGACTGGGACCATTGTTTTGGAGTTGAAGAGGGATGGGGAGCATCTGGCCAGGTGTCCCCACCCTTCTACTCTATGAATCTCATAGTTGGTCTGGTCCCAGGGAGGGATCGGCTTCTCATGTCTTCCTAGATGGAGGGGGGTGTACTTGCTCACCCCACTCTCTTCTTAACATCACAGAGAAGGCAGGGCCACATGCAAGGCCCCAAGGGCAAGGGTGACTTGGGAACACAGCTTCTTCTCCACTGAGGTCCAGGGAAGTAGGGCTGTTCTGGGCTCTGAATCCAGCAGTCCAACCCACAGCTGGCTAGGAGCCAGGCTCAGAGGGTCGCCCTCTGTATCGGTCACTGTCTGCGCATCTGAACTGTGTCCTCCCTTCTGACTGCAGCCCTCCTCCTGGCGGCCAGGAAAGAGTCTGGGTTGTTCCTGGGATGCTTTCCTCTCAGAGTTGCCTCTCCGAAACCCCCTAGTGAGAGTTCTCTGCAGGTCAGACTCCCCACACTGGGTTCTCATCTATTTATTATCCTTAAATACTGCCACTTCCCCACTCACCCTCTATTAGTAGCTCATGTGCATCGTCCCAGCCATCCCTCACCGTCCAGCAGTGGGCTCCAAGTGCAGGAAGGAGAAGTGTGGAGCCTGACTCTCCCCAGCTCCCTTCTCAGCTTTGTACCCTACCCTGAGGGCAGGGGGGGCAGCCACCCCTTTCCCCAGCCAAAAGAGGCACCTTTGCAGCCAAAGATTAAACTTCTCTCCTTTGCTTCACTCCCCACACCTGGTGGCTTCTGAGGGCCTCCATGTTCCCTGGGGATTCCTGGGAATAAGTTTGCAGGCAGATGTTGGTCCCTGGCAGAAGGTTGCTGCTGGGGCCAGTTCACCACACACCAATCCTTTGTCTCAGTGAGAAGCTGGGGTTTTTAAAGCAAGGCCCTGAGGACTTTGCTGTCTTCAGGGCCTGCATTCCTCTGGGGCTGCCCCTCTGCCCCTTCCTGCGAAGACAGCCAGTTTTAGCCTGGATCTTTCCAGGGAACCCAAGACCCCTCTCTCACGTCACCATATCCACCCTCCTAATCCCCATATGCTGAGGCTCTTAGACAGGACCATCGGTGAATCCCCCAGCTCCAGAGTATCTGAACCTCCGGAAGTCACTGGCAGGATCCCTGATGAAATTCTTGGAGGCAAGATAGCAAGCGGAGTGGATTCCTCGCCAGCAAAGGGGTGTTGATTAATAGATCAATGTCAGTTTCCTGACTTGCCAAAGGGTTCTGTCCTCTGCCCTGGCTTGTCCTACATACTTATCAGTAAGGCAGGTTAAGATGCAGAATGGAGACTTCGCAAGCACTGGGGGGGGGGGGATAGCAAATGAGAGAGGTAAGACTCTGAACTGAATCAAAATGCAAAAATTGACTTTATAAGTGGTCCAGAATTAGCAAGGGAACATTTCTCTAGGGGTCATGTCCTGAACTACTGTTCAAAAGTCATAAGAAATATGAATTAATAATAGTTCATGCAGGGAAAGTTCTAAAATATAGCAAAAACAAATGCATAGCTAACAATAGGATACAGCTGCTCTCAAAAAGCACAGGCACTTTTAGTTGCATTAATAAAAGAATAAAGTTTAAACCAAAGGGGATTTAAGTTCAACTCTACTCTATACCTCTTAGACACAATCATAAATTTAACACCCTATAAACCAAAGAGTATCCAATACATATTTGTTGAAGAAAAGCATAAAGAAAGGCTAAGGAAATTGGACCCAATTTTTATTTCAGATGATAGAAAAGATACGGGGCTGGGGATATAGCTCAGCAGCACACTACCTGCCTGGCAGGTACAAAGTCATGAGTTCGATTCCTGGTACCACACACACAAAAAAAGAAAGGAAGGAAGGAAGGAAAGATAAGGCAGGCGTTGTAAAATACTAGAGAAATTATCTTGCGTAAGTGAGCCAGGGCAAACTGTACCACCCATGTCCACCTCTAGTATGCGTCTCTCTGTCCCTCTGAATCCTGAGAGCCTGGGACCATTCCCATTCACCTCAGGATGGCCAAGAGGAAAAGCAGGTAGGAAAATGGTCGGTAACTATAGTGTTCTGTGTGGGCCCTGGGCAAGTGGAGCATGCAGGCTACACTGCAAGAGCTGACCTTTAGCCAGCCCGGCCACTGGGCAGGGGAGGTGAGGAGGCCTGGCCAGTAGCTGCACACTCAGCTGGCACACGCTGTCCAAGCCTCTCCTAGCCCTAGCTGGACATGGCTGCCTCAAGTCTAGAGCCGCCCAAAGGCCCTGGCCCAGGCCTGTGGTCCTTCTCCCTCCTCTTCTCTTCCTTTCCCTGTCTTTTCTCATCACCGACGTGGCCTTCCTCCCCTCCCTGTCCTGCCCATCACCTCCCTCCCTCCCTCGCCTTCCTCAATCTGCCCCATGCACAGGGGTCCCTATTTCTTCCTCTTGACCTTGGCCCTCAATTCAGCCCTGGCTCCACGGTGATGGGCTATCTTGAACTTGCTCCTCAGCTCTTGCTACTGTAGGCTTGAATTAGCGCTCTCAGGCTGGAGAAAGCCGCAGATTGGCCCACTGAGGATGCTGCACTTCAGCCAGGATGCCATCCCTCCTTGGCATGAGGCTCAGAGGACCTCGGCTCCCCGGACTGCGGCCCAGCAGCGCAAGGCAGAGAAACAAGGCTGTGGAGCTGCACAGGCCTGGTGACCTTCCTTCCTGGCTGTGTGGCCGCAGGCAAATTACTTAACTGCTCTGAGCACTGAGTGCAGATGTTACCTCCCCCCACATCCTCCCGCTTCAAAGAAATCATCCCCAGCACACCCCAGAGCCCCAATTCATTTCTCCCACCCCTGAGTCTCTTGGGGCAGGTTTAACAAATGCTCCTATGTATTGAGTGCTTTCCAGGGGCCAGGCACTATTCTTAGAGCTTCCGAGGTATAAATCCACTCTAATCCCCTCAATAACCCTCAGCACCGACCATTATTAACCTCACTTTGTAGATGAGGACATTGAAGTTTCCAGACGCCCACTATGATAGCTACTCCTCTCCCGATGAAGAGGAGCCACAGCAAGCCACAGGGCCTTGTTGGTCCGCATCCTGTGTCTCTTGGGCCTGGCAGGGGCCTCCACCCAGCAGCTCCCACCACAAGTGCAAACCTCTCTTGGGTCCCTCCCTTCTGCTTCAGAAGACTTCCTTCAAAGCTTTATTGAAGATCGCACACATGCACACCGTCTCAGAGGATCGGCTTCACAGGGTGGATGCCCAGCTCTTTCTGTTTCTGGACCCTGCACACTCTGGTTCCGATCCTCTGCCAGCGGCTCTCACGCATGCACTGCTTCACCCATTCATCCGGTACAGGCTCTGTGGGCTCCATCCTCAAGGAACACTCAGTCTACTAGGAGACAGTAAAGAAACACACACATATAGGGAGAGAGAGAGAATCACAACACAGAGAGCACTGAGAGACATGAAGGGAAAGAGAATGGCTGGAGGGGGGCACCCAGAGCCCAGCAGCTAATGGGCACTTACTCTGTGAGAGGCGCTTTGTGAGCCGGGACTGCACTGCATTAGCCCATCAGCCCCTCACCACAACCCACTCTCCATCCCCACTTGACAGCAAAGCAGCAGACATGATAGGATTTCATCTCCAAGTTTGTACTCTTAACGCTCTGCTACATTATCTCTAAGATGCTCAGAAGTTCATTAAGACCTGGTCTCAAACTAACCCTCCCAGCACAGACCCTTGCATGCCAGGCACCAGATGGCGCAATGCAGGAGACAGTGGTCCATCCTGGCTTGGCTTGTTCTGCCGCTCAGATGCTTGCTGTTGACCCTGGTGGGCTTCACGACAGCTGGAAGGGCTGTCCAGGGGACTAAGAATGTGCTGATGGTCACCACTTCCAAGTGAAGCTTACTTGGGACATGGCTGCTAGTCTCACTGATGGGACTGGTGATCGGGTAGGGGGGCCCCAAACTGGGAAACAATCACCCCACAGCATGTAATCAGGGCTCCTGAAACATGGGTGAGGATGCAGCTTGACTGGCCCAACCCCTCCTCACAGGAAGTGGAAAGCGAGGGCCAGAGAGGACAAGTAGAGAGTCCTAGCACCACCACAGGGAGGAGCCCAGTGAGTTATGCTGATAGCAGGTCTCTAGCCTGGCCCCCTGTGCCATGTTAGTCCCCAAGAGACAGAGAGGTCCCTTGCCTGTCCCACCTGGGGACAGAAGCTGGAGGCTTCTCAAGGTGTCAAGAGATCACAGGCACTGGATAAAAGATGCTCAGCGGCATGTGCAGGACCAACCAACCAGAGCAGGACTGGGGGACAAGGGGCAGTGGCCAAAGCCCCTCTGGGTGCCCCTCCCCAGCGACCCTGTGGGTGACTGCTTCCTTGGAACATTGTGTCCAGGCTGTGAGTCTTGGCTCAAACACTACCCTGCCTGGCAAATCTCCAGGTGCCTGTTTAATAATGTACAACCAACCGGCCATTAACTGCAGATTTATAGTAAAAAAAAAAAAGTTGGTGGTTGTGTTTGTTATCGGTAGTGGTGTGGGGGTTTTTTGGGGTTTTTTCTTCCAGGTAGTTGGTGGAGACTGAAAAACAAGTCTTTCCTGGCCACCCTCCAGGGCAATCATAGCCCGGTCTGGCTAAGGGATCCTGGCAGATTTCACCTGTCTTTGCCCAGCCCCACCATGCCAGATGCCAAAGTGCTGCCCCCACCTCCACACGCCTGGCTACACCCTAGGTCTGCTCCCCAAGAGGGAGGACGTGGGGTACACTTTCAGAGCAGCACCAGGAGAGGGGAGCCCAGCTCGAGGTGGTCTGGTCCTTCCTAGGAATCCAATGTCATCTGGCCAGATGGGAGCAGAAGGTGACACGGGTACAGGGGACGAGGTCAACAGCCAGGCGCCCAGCCCTCCCAGCCTAGCCTGGGTGAAGGGTGAGGACACTGTGGCCTGCTGAGCTTTGGCTCTGTTTTCCACGAGTCAGGAGTCCCAAAAGGATCAGGGAGCCAGCGCCAAGGCAGAAAACGCATGAGAACAGTGAGAGCGAGGAGCAGAAACACTAACCCGACACCAGCTCAGCTGCAAGCTGGGCAGGAAGATCCTGGCCTTGTATAGCTGTGGCCCATGGAGAAAGCTGGCAGCCTGAGCTGAAACTGCGGCAGGCTGCAAGAGCAGCCCAGAGCCCAGACTGGGCTCCCTGGACACCCTGGGCCAGTCCTGTGTACTTTCTCATTGCTGTGAGCTCCCAGTCCCCCATCCTGCCCAGGGATCCAGCCAGATAGGGACTGCAGAGGGATCTGCAATGGTGGCGGTGGTGGTGACAGCAATGATGGCCCTATACTGTCCCTTCTCAAGGCCTCGGTAGGCATCTGGCACTGTATTTTCTTTACTTCTCCAATAACTCTAACTATCATTGTCACCATGGTATAAATAAGGAAACTGAGCCTTGGAGAGAAATTAATTCCCTTGTGCACAGTAACCAGACTCGTGAGTGACAGAGTCAGGACTCGGTCTACTTAGCCAGACTTGCTGGCACAGGCCTGTAATCTCAGCTTTTGGGAGGCTGAGGCAAGAGGACTGCTGAGAGTTCAAGGTAAGACCCTACCTCAAGAAAACAAAAACAAAAAGAGCACTCAGGACCCTTTACTATGCTGTCATAACGACTGTAACCCACAGAGGCCCAGTCCCCACTACCAAGAGCCCCAGCAGCCCCTCCTGCCTGCCTGAACATCTGTGCCTGCTGTCCCCTCCTCCTGTCACCCCACCATCCAGCCTCTCGCCACAGTGACAAGGTGCTCAGCCTCCCATGGCCTGTTTCTTTCCTCCTGTTCCCTAGGTTCCCCCGGCTCCCCAAGACCTTCGAGCTTCCCACCCAGCTCCCAAGCAAGGATACCCACAGGCACAGCCACAGAACCCTCCACACTCACACTCACACAAACACTGCACATTGCACACGTACTTACCCTTATCCACACATGTGTATCTGCACAGGCAGGGCATGGTACGTGCACAGTTGAACACACATTCCCAAGCACAGAAGCCCCCACACAGACATATGCCCACAGTTACACGAATACAAGGACACAGACACACGCAGGCACACGCTTCCACACCCACACATGCGCGTGCACACATGTAAACTGCGTCTGAGGGTGGTTGGCTGGGCGCAGGCTGTCTGGGCAGGCAGAGCTAGACAGGTGTCCAACGTGCCCCCCCCCCCACCCCGGTCCGTACTCCAAAGGCGAGAAGGCTGCCGGCTAATAATACCACAGCACATTCCTGGCCTCAGATAAGCAGCCCCAAGCATCCTCGGCACGTTCCGCCTCGGTGTCTCAGCCCTGCGGATTCCACCCACCCGCAGCGCCGTCCTGGGGGAGCCACGGAAGTCGGCGCCGCTGACACAGACACCTTGGCCAGGAGCCTGCCACCCTCCCTTACGCTCTGCTTCTCCTTCTCCAGGACCCCCAGGCCCTCTGTGGGCCTTGGTTTCCACACAGGGTAAGCAAGAGAAGGTCTGTGAGCGTTCTGACAAGCAGGCCATTATAAATCATTGTCCCCCTAGCCCACATCTACCCAACCCTCTAAACTGGGCCCCTTATATGGTATGTGGGCTCAAGTACTAAGTTCTCATTGCCTGGGCAGATCCTAGCACCACAGGGATACAACAGGAGCCTGTCCTGCCAGGGGGCTGCAGGCAGCCTCACCACACCCCAATGACATCACTGGCACTGTGGTCACTGAACAGGTGAGGGCCCTGCGGCTCTGAACTGGCATGGCCAGGAAGAAAGAGACCCAGAATTCCAGCCCCTAAGCCAGAGTTCTTTCCATGACCTCAGATCATCCTCCTCCTGGCCGACTCTTGGAACGACATGTTTCCAGTGCCCCCGGGTGGATCAGAGGCAGCACCTTTCTTAGAGAAATACTTGTGTGCATTACAGGCTCAAGAATGGGGCATTCTGAGCACACAAATGCAATACCCCACAAAGTGTCAGGCATCTGGGGCTCGTTCTCAGGTCTCTGCTGCTACTTCAAGGTAGGCAGAAGGTCCTTAGAACAGGAGTCAGGTGACACCAGGCCCCCAACTTCAAGTGCCAGAATATTCCATAGGAACAGAGACATGAAGATAGTGAAAGGGGCTCCTCCATCCACTGGATCTGTCTTAATTACTTTTCTCGTTGCTGAGATAAAATAACTGACGCTCAAAGTTAAAGGAGGAAAGGTTTATTTGGCTCACGTTTGCAGAGGTTTCAGTTCATCACTGACTGGCTCCAAGGCATGGCAGAGAGGCATTGCAGAGGAAGAAGTTTGTGGCAGGCAGTGAGGCAGCGAAGCAGCAAGCAATGACAGCAGCCCTCTTTCTGTTCCTTAGAGTGGGTAGCTGTCATACCCACAGTGGGCCTTCCCATTATCCACACCCGGAATTATGCCCAAACCAATCAGTGTTCACACACCCTTGATCCCGTATCGCATACTCCAGATTCAGCCATCTCAGAGAATCTGCCTATGACCCCAAGAGCCTTTGGGGAGACATTTAAACACAAGCCATAACAATCAAAAAAGGAGGGTCAGCCAGAGATTTAGTTCAGCAGCTTTAGTTCAGCAGCATAAGTGTCCGTAGTATGACAAGTGCGAGGTCGTGAGTTCGATTCCTGATACTTAAAAAAAAGGGGGGGTCTTTGCAAGTTAGGGTGGAGGCCCAAACAAAAGGCTGAGACCTGGGAAACAAGGCAGGACCCAGAGGACATGAACACATACTTTCCTGAGGGACACACAACCAGGGAAGGAGGAACAGGGGCAGAGAGATGTCAGACACGAAAGAGAAACAGCAAAGACATTAAGGACCAGGAAGGGGCCCACAACCTCCAATGTTCTGAACAAATGGATCTGTGAGGTCTACAGCTGTTCCGAGCAATTCTCCAATGAGACCATTCTGACCCAAGAGGATGATGTCGTCCCCAAAGGTGATCCGGGGATAGGACCTGCGTATCCCGCGTAGCCTCAGTTTCCCAAGACAAAACCAAACCAGCCAGCAGAACTAAGAGCAGAGATGTTGCAAGCAGAGGAAGAAGAGGAAGAAAGCAGGCTGTGGTGGGTGACGCTCCTTGCCTCAAGGAGTCACGGGATAGGGTAGATCTAAGAAGCCTGCGAGCCTGAGAGCTGTGGCAGCCAGGACCTTGGCTGGCAATGACAGTGAGGGCACAGGGCACAGGGACACCACGGTGATGCAGCTGAAGGGAGGGTGTGTTCCCATGAGTTCACCCCACCCTGGAAGGCAGCGGGGCTTCCAGCACTGAGCGACCCGCTCACCGCCAGCCCCCTGGTGCTGCCTATTGGTGGGAGCTAAGCAAGTAAGGGCCATCATCCTCCTGGGCTGGGGCACACAGGGAGCCAACCCATAGGAGCCTGCCTTTCTGCTGTGCCACCCAAGGGTGCTGCTCTTCTCCCACTGTCTCTGGGCAAACACAGCCAAGGCCAGCGCCCAGAGGGCCACAGGATGTAGCCAGTATGCGTACACTGGAGTGATCACATATCATCCGTTGATTGGTGAACAGACAGAGGCAATGACCTATGTCAATAAACGATTAATATCTCTACAGACAGAGGCTAAACTGTGGTTTCCAAGTCCATTGCCAAGTCGAAGGAACCAGGCGAAACAAGAGGTTTTAAGATAATCAGCGAAAACTGAACAGACAGTAGTAGCTGATTTCAAGGGTTATTATTAATTATGTTAATTGTGTTAACAGTGGTAGTCAGAGCAGTGTTAAAAGTCCTTATCTGTTAATGAAACATACTAAAGTATTTAAGTGAAATGACACAATGTCTGGGATTTGCCTTTAAAACACTCCAGTAGAAAGCAAAGGGGAGAAGGCTGGAGTGGGAGAGGGATATACAACAGAAACGGCAAAGTCAATGGCTATTGAAGCAGGAGATGGATGCAGAGGAGTTCATTCTACTATTGCTACTTCTGTATGCTTTAAATCTCCCACACACACACAAAAAAAAGAATTGGCACACACGAAACTAAAATAAAGAGAATTTTATTTTAGTTTTATTCACTGGATCCTGGGTCACCTAAAGTGTGACATGCAAAATGACTTTAGTTGGAAAAATGGCTCAATAATTTCAAGATTATTGTATTTAGGAAAAAATACATGGCCGGGCATGGTGGCACACACCTGTAATCCCCAGCACTCCTGGAGGCTGAGACAGGAGGATTGTAAATTCAAGCCCAGTTTAGGCAACTTAGAGAAGCACTGCCTCAAAATGCAAAATAAACGGGCTGGGGAGCAGCTCAGTGCAAAGGCCTTGGGTTCAATGCCCATGATGGGGGAGAGAGAGAGAGAGAGAGAATCGTCACGGATTAAGTCCATAAACTCATCACTGAGAATTAAGTAAAAGGTTAAAGAACAAATCATTTTTTACAAAATGAAGTGAGTGATAGTGTCCGATGGCAGCAGTGGTACAGAGACCTATCCCACAGCAGTTCAGAGAGCAGTGCCCTCTCCTCACACTCCAGCGGGAGGCCAACACATGGTCCCAGAGGGTCATCAAGTACCTTCTGCCCAAGCCACCTGTCTGCACCCACAGTGCACAGGTACAGGGCGAGACCTGGGCTGCACTGCCACTGACAGTGACAGCAGTGAACAGAGTCATCCAGGGCGGCTCTGGCCCAACACCACTCCCCTTTTCTCCAATCTCCACAGAGCTCTCCCAGTGAGACCTTATCAGGTTCACTTCACAGCTGGGAAAGTGTGGCTGAGAGAGGATCAGAGACTTTCTCCAGGTCAAGCTGTGTGTGTGGCATCAATGTCCCAACCCCCCACTCACCACACCTACCACACAGCACTGGGCTCCCTCCAGCCTGTCTCACTGGAACAGTCTGAGCACAGAGGCATGGAGGACAGGCAGGTCTGCTTAACGGCTGTGATGCAAGGTTCCAAGCCCCTTGCCAGCAGGTGGAAGGGCCAGGATTTGAACCTGTATCCCTCTCAGATCCATGCATATGGGACCTGGAGGGCAGACAGGGAGTGGTCCGGTAGGACCATTATTATACAGGACATGGCTGGCAGGGAAAGGTGATGCAAACTTTGTAGAGGTTAGATCAGGAGGGCCACTGGAAGCTAGAAAGGGAAGGCTGTGTGGCTCAGATGACATTTCCTGGCACACTGCTTTGCCCTGGGCTGGAATTAGCTAACTCCACCTGCAAGTGTAGGTTATCCCATGCCTCTAGTCTAAATGAGTCTGACTAACATAAATGGAGAAATTAGCACAATTTCTCAAAATGTGAGGCTCATAGAGGAAACATTTCTAGAAAGGTCCATTTAGTGTTCATTCAGACCCTAAAACAGGCCTGCAGACTGAGGGCTCTGTAATGTCCTAGGCAGGACTACCTGCTGGGCCAACTTCCCAGCTTTATACCTCTAGAAGCTGGGATGGAATGAGGAACACACAGAGCTCCCTGCTCTCCAGAGATATGTCCATCCTTCCCAATGGCAGAGGTGTCCCAGGGACACTCAGGACCCCAGTCATGTCCCATGTCCAAGGCTGTACCAGGCTGGAAAGAACCTAGCACTGGGGATTTAGGGGAGCACTAATTGCTTAATGAATGACCAGTAGCCTCAGCGTTGATATTATTGTGATACAATAATACCATGAGCTACACTACCCAGATGCACACCTGGGCTCCTGGCCCTGCTGTTAGGAAGCAGCAAGCCAGACAGAGGACCCAGTTGGATACTTTGAGGGTGCAGGATGCAAGGGGCCAGCCAGCCTCAGCCTCCTCTGTGTCCTCCCTAGGAATGCAGCCTCGGCTGGGGGTGGGGGTGAGGAGAGATGCCTCGTCGCTGAGGTCAGACCCTATCGGGAGTGGTGCGGGCAGTGTGTTTTATCATCATCCTCACACGTGTGCGAGGAGAGAGGAGGGCAGCGGAGTGTGAGAGGCCACTGCAGACACCGCCCAGTCTCTAGTGCCACTGTGGCCTGGCCCTCACCTGGCCCTGACCCCACCAGTCCTCCACGGCCTCCCCCAGTGAGTAGGCAGCAGAGGCAGCTTTGGGCAAAGGGGCCTCCATCATCACCCAGCCTGGAACAGGGCAGCCACTCCACCAAGCCACACCAAGCTTTACCAAGCTCTTGACAGTCACCCAGCATGCAGAGCATCGTCCATCATCCCATCTTATAGACAAGGAAACTGAGGGCCAGGGTGGTCTCAAGACACTGGTCACTGCCACAGAGCCTGGACTTACAGCAGAGGACATGGCAAAGGGATACGAGTCCAGACATGTCCTTTGAGAGCCACAGTGAGTGGCCTTTGCTGCTTTGCCCACGGTTGGTGCCAGGCAGGCTACGATTGCAGGATCCCCTTTTGGGTCTGCAGCTCCCCCGGCACGGATCACTCCAGACACACAGCACAGCCTAGGAAGGCTGGGTCCTCCCCTGGCCAAACAGCCATTTGTATTCTGGAGACCTCAGTTCAGGAATCTGGGGTGCTCCTGGCCCCCTTCTACTCTCCCACACACACCAGAAGCCACCTCCTCGAGCTGGCCCCGTTACCTCCAGCTGCAGTTTCAACCTGTGCCCTTCTAGACTGCCCCACCCCCATTATCAAGAAGATCACCCAGTAACCTTGGTAATGTGTCTGGGACCCATCGGTAATATATCTGCTAAAGCTCCAGGCACCATCGTCTCAGTTTCCTGATGAAAATAAGGAGGGCAATTGACACTTGGGGAGATAGGAGGGTCACCTAGCAGAGTGGGGGTCCCCAGGGCATAGTTAAGGTTTTCCCCTTGCAGGAAGGCCCCTTTCAGATTTCCCTCCCAAGTTCTGGGAAACCAGGTCCCCGCCACTTCCTGCTGCCTCTCCTGGCAGCCTGGAGAAGATCAGGAAACTCTGCCCAGGGAGCAACCCTACTGCTGCTTTAAAGCCCAAAGAGTTCTCTGCATCTCTCAGAACTTCCCATCTCCACCTTAGGACAAGCGCACGCGAGGCAACGTAGGCACGCACGCACGCACACGCACATGCGCTGGCCAAACCTGCCCTCCTGCCGCACCCCCTCCTGCCGCACCCCCGCCTGAGCTCTGAGGTTCGCTGCTCTCTGTTCCCTCTCCAAAGCTGATCAGCCCAAAACAGAGGAACCAGAGACCAGCCTCTCCTGGAAGGGAGGTGGGTATTCTGGGGTCTCTGAGCGGAATGAAAGCTGCAGGGGGAAGATGTCCTTCTCTCTGGAAGCTATTCCCGCCCTTGTTTCAAAGTCAAACATCTAAAATTCTTATGATGAGAGCGGTGGCTCACATCCATAAACCCAACTCTTGGGAGGCTGAGGCAGGCAGATCTTGAGTTAGAGACCAGCCTGGGCTACATAGTGAGAATTTATTTTTAAAAACCAAACCAAGCAAATAAGCAAGATACTTCTGACCTTCACTCAAAAACAATAACATTTCTCTCACTGTAAAGATAAAAGAGAAGATTTGTGCAAACTCAGAAGGGACGGTAATCAAAGATTGAAATCTGAAAACTACAGAGGGCTAGACCACAATGATATACAGGTCTCCATCTCTAATTGGTCTGGTGTGACCCTGTCTTCCCGTCCTCCCCTCCCACGCTGGAATATGGAATGGCTTTTGTGCTGCCTCTAGACTTCGATCTCCATTGGTTGTGAAAGTTGAGATGTGTGTCAGTCTGACCCACTGGAGTACCGAGGGGTTTCATCGTGTGTGCACACACCCAGCCTGGCTGTGAAGGTATTCCATACCTGTGGCCAGTGACCCTACGGGAAGCAGAGGGCCCTTGATGGTGTGAGTTGGCCTCACCCATCTATGGAAGGCCTCAGAAGCAAAAACAGATTTCCTATGGGAAACACTGCCTCAAGAATGGGCCACAGCCTGAGCTGGGCATGGTGCTACACACATACCTGTAATCCCAACATTCTGGGAAGCTGAGGCAGGAGGACTGCAAGTCTGAGCCCAATCTGGGTGGTTTGGTGACTTAGTGAGAACCTATCCCAAAACAAAAAGGTGGGGGGTGTAGCTCAGTGTAAGACTCCAGGCTCAATCCCCAGTACCAAAACAATAAAATAAAAATAAATGGGCCACATCAACCCTGCCTGTCTGCGGGCCACAGGCCTGCCCTGTCCATGTCACACTTTCCACCCCCTGTCTTAAAACTGGTGTCTGAATATGTGTACCCTACAGGTCTTGCTTCCTGGGGTGCCCCTGACCAATGCAATGAGCAAATAAGAGAGCCAAGAACCTTGGGTCCGGTTCCATCCCCTCAAGGAGCTCCTGGGACCATGCTGGGTCTGTTTGCTCACTTAACTCTGACCTAGAGAATAAAGTCCACACAAAGAATGGAATAAACAAATAACAGGGGCTAAGAGGCGGCACTGTACAACAGGACTCCAGTTAACAAATGTAGGAGTGAAGGAAATAGAAAATCAAACCCAAACTGAGGGCCGTTCTTCAAAACAACCAACCAGCCCCTTTCCAAATGGCCAAGGTCATAGCTGGAGATTTAGCTCAACAGCATAAGCACCTGCCTGGTAAGCGTGAGGTTGTGAGTTTGATCCCTAGTACCAAAAAAAAAAAAAAAAAAAAAAAAAAGGCCAAGGTCATAAGAAACAGTGAAATGGAGATGCTTCATGCCCCAGACTGCTGGGGACAGAGGAGACAAAGCCTCGCTGCACAGTGAACCCCTGAATTGACCCAAGGTCAAGAAAAGAGCAGGCGGGCACGGACCAACTGCAAAATTCTGCTGAGGTCTATATATTAGCAAGCAGCACCAGATTAAGGTTAATCTCTGGGTTTTTGATACCTGTACAGAGGTTATGTAAGCTGTCGACATGGTACACGGTATATGGAAACTGTGCCAGGTTTGCAAATTTTCTGTAGGTCTAGAATCATGTGAAAATAAATAAGGAAGACAAGGTAGGCTAGGGGGATGTAGCTCAGTGGTAGAGCCCTTGCCTGGCATGTGCAAGGCACTTGGTTCAATCTCTAGCATCACAATGCAGGGAGGGAGGGAGGAAGAAGGAAGGAAAAGAAATCTGGAGCCTAAAGAAGACACAGATTAGGATCCAAACAGCAACTAAAGTCTTATGTCCTTGCAAGGGAAGAAATCAACCTGAGAAGCTCCCCTAGTCGCCCCAAGGAACGAGATGGGGAAAGAGTACAGGCCTCCCCAGGAGCACAGCAGACTCTCCTGGCCAGGCACAAGGCGACACAGGTATTCCTGCTCTATGTCACACAAGAGTCAAACTCCACAGCTTCTGACCACGACCACAGCTGTCACTCACTAGTCACTGGGGACTGTGTACCAGGAGCTGAAAAGCACTCTCCAGGCCTAACTGGTTTCATCCTGACCACCGTCCCGCAGGCAAGGCTTCTAACCCCCCTTTACTGACTAAGCAATCCAGAACCAAGGCCACTCAGCAATAAGTAGGGGAGGCAGGAAACAAACCAACCTTGATTCCCTTCGATGCCCTCAGATCTCAAAACGAGACTTTTTGTGACTTACAGGTCAAGAACTCAAGCTACACAGAGGGTTCACAACCTGCCCCATGTCACAGATAGTGGGCACGGAGAAGAAAAGCTCTCCCCCCGTGTCTGGTTCAGTCCTGCGCTCCCAGGCCCCCACCTTCCTGGCCACGCAAGCACATTGCTCGACCATCCCAGCCCGTTTCCTCCTCTGGGCCCCAACAATCGCATCGGACCTGTTCTTTAAGGCGCTACTATAAAGTTCTGATCCAGCGATCCTGGGCGTGCAAGACCTTCTGCAGCAGTGAGCGGACAGACGGTGGAATCCAAGCCAGCATGAGGCTCTGTGTGAGACAGGTGCTGGGGCTCTCTGGCTGCTCCTCCCATCATGCATGGCCCCTGAGTGACTGCCCCCTGTGGCCTCCAACAGAACCTGGTTTGAACCCCGACACCTTCGGACACCCTCGCTTGGGTGCCCCGGCCCAGTGCCAGTGGAAACAGAGATGGGGGTTAATCTGTGACTCACTCTGTGCCCAAGACATACAAACACCCCTCTTCCTAATGGCCCCCCACTAACATCCCACAGCGCCTGCCCGCTGCAGGGGACAACTGGCCAAGTCACTCATCAGCCAGGAGCCAGACTCCCTGAAAGAGGGAGCGGGGAGAAGGAGCCAGAGAGGGTGGACAGGACAGCTAGCAGGTGGCTGCAGGCAGAGGAGCCAGTGGGGAGCTGTGGGCTTTCTGTGCAGCCGCCCTGGCCCACTGCCTGCTGGATTTCTGGAGCACTGAGCTGTTTGTTATTTCTGGGGCACTTAGCACTTTATCATCCTAGGATCTCAGAATAATAGAATAAGAGCTATCTATTGAGCAAGGCCCAATATCACATGCCAGGATTTTACCTACGGTTTCTCTAATCCTCACACCAATCTTGCAAGGTCAGCCTGATATCAGCAAGATATCAATGCCACTTTTTTAAAATTTCTTTCTTTTTTTTTTTTTTTTTTTTTTTTTGCTGGTACCGGAGGTTGAACCCAGGGCTTTTTAGCTAAGCTACATCCCCAGCACTTTTTAATTTTTTTTTTCTACTTAGTCTCACTACATCATTAAGTTACCCAGGCTGGGACTGAATTTGCCTATGCCTTGTAGCGTGTTGGGATTACAGTCACACACCACCACGTCCAGCTAATGTCACCTTTCCTTACACCAATGAGGAAACCAGATTTTGGAGGGTGAGTGACTTACCTGATGTGACAAGTTTCAGGCAAGTGACAGGACGCATCCAAGCCCAAGGCCAGAGAAGTGCCACCTTTACCCAGCCACCTCTCCTGTCATCCTAGGAAAGGTTTTAGGTCGGGGATTTGGGAGGCTCAGAGGATTGACCAAGCCTTGGCCTCCAGGTAGAACCCAGCAGGAGAAAATGCTGAGTTCCTGGGTGGCATCTCAGGACCCTCAGAAGCAGCAGCAGCTTTGCCAGTTGCAGGGGGTGCCAGGGGCGGGGACTGTATGCACTCAAGCACCTGCAAACACCTCCCTCCACGGCTAGCCCTCGCAGGCACCACACACCTGAAGCCACAAGCCAGAAGCGGCCAGAGAAGCCAGCACGGGCCAGGGGCCCTCACACCCTACTGACGGAGCCCCTAAACTCTACGGGCTCCTCTGCACGGATCCCAGCCTGCACCTGGGCCTCACACGATAGCAGAGCTGCTGGCCTTCGCACCTCAGCATATTTCACTTCGTGTCCTGTTACCCGGGACCCTGGGATTCCCCTCTCCCTGCGCGCCCTCATCTCCATTTCTCCGTATCCCACTGCCCTTCCCCAGCTCTGGGTCCCCTCCCTCCCCTTCTTACTCCCGCAGCCTCTCAGGAACCCCCATGCGATGTTTACACAGCCAGAGTCAGAAACGCCAAAAAATATGAGACCTTTTGGGAGCCACATTCCAGGAAAATGAGAAGCCGGTCACAGCTCAGTGTCGCTTTCTCCCCCAGCTTTGCCCCTCCCTGATTGTGTGTGTGTGTGTGTGTGTGTGTGTGTTTGTGTGTGTGTGCATGTGTGTGCACGCACGCGTTTGGCTCCAAGGCTAATTATTAACCCCCGTGTGTCTAATTTATAGTCTGTCACCTCCTATACTTTAGGAAGATGGCCAACAAGGGGCTCCAACCTCCTTTCTTTTTCTTTTTCTTTTTTTTTTTTTTTTTTTTTTTTTGTCTTTTGCTCTGCAGCCCAGGCTGGCCTCAAACTCAAAGCGATCCTCCTCCCTTGGCCTCCCCAGCTGGGATTACAGCATGAGTCACCATACCTGGCTAGAGGCTCCAACTTCTGGCAAGTTTCTAATAAGGCAGAGAGGAAATGGTTTCCCAAGACCACCTCCTCCCCTGGGACCCCCAACCCAGGTAAGGCAGAAGCCTGGAGGCCACAGAGATGTAGGCGAGGGACTCAATGGCTTCCTGGGGGCCTTCAGTGGGAGAGGAAAAGGAGGTTCCAGGGCGACACAGGTCTATCTGGGGACCTAGCATCAGTCAGGGGCCCACGGTAGGAAGTAACACAGACCCCTGGGCCCGACCCCAGACCCACTGCACAGGCGATGCCAGGGCTTCCTGTCAGGCAACTGCAACCCACAAGGAAGTCACAGCCCCACAGAGAAACTCAGAGTGTGGCACAGTAGTGGTGCCTATGGCACAAAGCCATCAGGCCTCGGAGCAGCCCTGTGCCAGAAGCCGGCTCCCCGCCTGCCAGCTGTGCGGGTGGTGGCTCAACTCAGCATGCTCACCTGTGACTGGGCCAACCAGCCTGCTCAGTGTGTGCAAGGGCCAGGCTGCAACGCCACGCAGCCCGCCTGCTCAGGACATGCAGAAGCAGTGTCCAGAGAAAAGGAAGGTTCCTTGGGAGCGGTGCTACAGGCTTACAACCTTGGGAGGCCGAGGCAGGACTGCTGCAAATTTGAGACCCTACCTCAAATCAAACACAAAAATAAACCTTTAATTAGACTGAACAAGAAAACTCAGATTCCTAGGTTCAGAAATGAGAGAGGACAAAGCATGATGGTTCACCCACTGGAGTGCACCACCCAATAATCCAGTGTGGGATTACTCCCTCTGGAGTGTGGAGTAATCCCACACTCCAGAGGCTGAGGCAGGAGGACTGCAAGTGAGCCTAGTCTGGGCAGTTTACTGACTTAGTGAGACCTTGTCTCAAAACTTGTTAAAAGATGTGAAAAAGGGCCAGAAATGTAGCTTGGTTTGAAAACTCTAGGTTCAATTCATAGGAGGAAGGGAAGAAGAAAGGGAGAGGAAGAAAAGAGAAAGATTGCTGCCAACCTTATAAAAATAAAAGAATTATGAAGGAATACTATGAGCAAATGTAAGTCAAAAACCAAGATAACTAAAATAAATAAATAGAAAGATATGAACCACCAAAACTGACCCAAGAAGCAGCAGAAAAGCTGAACAGACCTATAATGAAGATTGAATTTGCAATCAAAAATCTATCCACATCACCCAGACCCACATGGCTTCACAGAAAAATCACACCAAACATTTAAAGAAGCTTTAATTATCAGTTGTTCACAAACTCTTCCAAAAAAGGATAAAGCAACATGGTGGGCACCTCCTGGCTACTCAGCAGGCTGAGGCAGGAGAATCGCTTGGATCTAGGAGTTTGGGACCAGCCTGGGAAACACAGTAAGACCCTGTCTCAGAACAAACAACCAACTAACAAACCAAAAAGTGTAAGCATGGTGCCCCCACACTGCCATCCCAGCACCCTGGGAAGCTGAGAGTAAAGGATCACAGATTCAAGCCTACTTGGGAAACTTAGCAACTTAGTGAGACCCTGTCTTAAGATTTAAAAATAAAAAAAGGCTGGGGCCACAGCTCTCTGTGAAGGTCCTATCAATCAATCAATAAAATGTTTTCCACTTCACTTTAGGAGGTCAGTATTGCCTTGACACTAAAACAGGCAAAGGCATTATGAGAAAAACACACTATAGACCATTCTTTCTTATAAATAGAGATGCAAAAACTCCTCAACAAACCATTAGCAAATTTAACCCAGCAACATATAATTTAAAAGAATTATACCACAACTAAATGACATTCATCCCAGGAATGCAAAGTAGTTTTCACAATTGAAAATCAGTCAGGAATGGTGGCATACACCAATAATACCAGCACTCAAGAGGCTGAGGCAGGAGAATCACTGCAGGCTTAAGGCCAGCCTGAGCTACAAAGTGAGTTCAAGGCCAGCCTATACTACAACAGCAAGATCTTGTCTCAAAACACAAACAAAATAAATAAATAAGTAAATTTGAAAGAACAAAAATTGAAAATCAATTCAGATAATACACAGCAAGAACTTTAAAAAGCACTTGATCATTTCAAGATGTATTTGACAAAATTTGGCACCACTCCATGAATTTTTAAACACTAAACAAACCAAGAACAGAAGGCATGTGCTTACTCTAACACAGAGAGTGTCTATAAAAATAAATAAAAAATAAAAAAAGGACAGCTAACATCTTGCTTCATGGTGCAAGACTGGATGGATTTTCTCTTAGATCAGAAAAATCAAATCCAAACCACCATGAACTACCACTCCAAAATCCACTGAACGCAAGCAAAAGTCAGATAGTAACAAGTGTTGGCAAGAATGTGGAGAAATGAGAACCTTCGCTGACACTTTGCTGGTAAGAATATGAAACGGCGTCACTGCTGTCAAAGGGTCATTCGTACTCTCCACAAGAGACTTGGTGGAGTCTCCCCAGGACTTCAGAAGGCGGCTTCATTGGGTCCAGTTATTTGAACTGTGGGCCGGAAGCCACCTGGTGCCAGGTTAGGTGAATGACGCAGGCCAGGACGCACTCTAGTGCTTCTATGAGCCCCGGGGGCCCTCAGCAGCAGGGGTCCCAGAATTCATTAATCCAACCTCATGAAAGAGGATTCCCAGAACGGCTTCAGAAGGTGGCCAGAACGACAAGACTCGTGCATTTGAAGGGAGGCGGAGGATTCTGAGGGAGAATTCATGACGCTGTGTCTTCCACTGGAATATGTTTAATTTAAACATACACCATATACTTTGATCATTCCTTGTTGAGAAACAGGAAGCAGATGAGTGGTAGCTTCGGGCTGGGACCAGGAGAGCAGAGGAGAGGGACTGAGGAGGGACAAGCTGAAGTGAATGGCTCTTTTCAAAGCGATGAAAAGCTGCTAAAACTAACTACGGCAACGGT